TATGAATCGTTTTGACTTCAARTAGTCATTAAATGAGAAAAAAAGTATTGTGCCACGTCATCGAGTTGAACAACTTCAGTTGTTGCATTCCACTATGTTGTGAYGGACAATGGGGAACTGTTTGTAGTGACTGGAATACCTTGGATATRAATGACGCTACAGTTGCATGTAGACAGCTTGGATTTACCAAAACTATAGCATATTGGATCTATGGACGAGGAAAGGGCAGTGTATGGTTGTACAACACGGGATGCTCTGGCACAGAAGCCTCACTTGRCARCTGTACTCATGCTGGATGGGGAAACGTTGCCTCTGGCTGCAATTCTCACCAATATGATGTTGGTGTTGTGTTGTGCACACAAAGTTGTGTATTAAGCTGTCGTACAGGTCTAGTACGACATTTATTGGACGATAGTGCGCATTAAACCAGCTTCTACGTTGCTATCGAAGTTGGAAGGTTCAACCCATTTTCCGAAATTTGATTTCAAGTTTGCTTTGAAAATTAAAGGAATGAAGCGGAAATTGTAAATTTCAAAACAGCCCTCGATTTAAATTTCGTTTCTTGATAATTTTTCAATCTAGACATTGAAGGACTTGCTTATATTCATATCAAAATCTCAATTTATGATTGGATTAGGTATGCGCTTTGGCAATATAGACATACAACAAATTACGTAAATTCAAAACCTGAGTCTAGGAGTTGCTTTTATTTTATTTTTTTAAAAATACTAACCGATGAATTATATAATGTCGATTTTTTTTCGATTTGCTTATGACATAACGCAAGACAATCGYTCTACTTTGCTCACATACCGCCACAGTGTAGTGGTAGTGGTAGTGGTAGTGTAGTTTTGAGTAGTGTGGTGTGGTGTGGTGTGCTGTTTTGTTTTGTTTGGTGTTATGTGATGTGATTTGATGTGGTCTGGTCTAGTGTGGTGCGGTGTGGTGTGATGGTGTGTAGGAATGAAACTATTTGACCTTCACATTATGGACAAGGAACATGGCTGCACGCCACTTTGTGTTCGTGAGGCCTCACTCGGAATTTTTAGGTACGAAGAATGTTTAAGAACCATGCTTTGTCGGTATTGTATTGTACAAGTCTTTTACAATGGACAATGGGGAACAGTGTGCTATGGGTTGGCTGATAGCYTCACAAGGACCAATGATCCCTCTATCTCTTCTCGGAAAAAACAATTCTGGACGAACTAGGAGGACAATCATCGCACCGGTAAGGTAATTGGTGAGATCCAATTTTACGAAATGTCTATAAATTATGGCAATAATCGGTGGAAAAAAAGAGAAAATGCAAAAAACCTAATAAGGAAACAACACCTCGTCAAGTACGGAAAACACAAAAAAAAGCAAAAAACACAGTCAAAGGGCTGCAAGATACTAGAACCATCCCAAGGTCTATTAGACGGAATTGGTAGAACTACGTGCACCGGAGAAGAAAAAMAGAGTTTCATGTACCAATGAAAGAGTACGCCAAATCGATAACACAAACCACGACGTTGCACACCACCTGCCACGATAAGACAGAACACCAAGGAGTTTCATAGACACCTATTCACAGCAGACAGACTAAAGCMCAGCCGTAACAAAGCGGAGCTCCCAATAGGCACAGGGAACCCGATTAAGATATAACAGAAAGGTTAAAAAAATCGGGGGGGGGGAGATCCTAAATAATTTTTTTATTCGAGATCAAGATAAAGTTTTCCATAATGAAGACCATGTATGCAGTTACTAAATTGGATCCAAATGCACGACATCATTTCTTCGAGCGAGTCTTTTTTTCGATCTTATTACTCTCTCACTTGAACACAACCCACCACCAGCCATCCCAGGGTATAATTTTGTGGTTGAAAAGTTCTTCGACAAAGTTTTCCATGGCCGACAATTTTACGCATTGAAGTGCTGCTTAATTTTACTTGGAAAACGAAAGACAACTACAGATAAAMCAATACAATATTACTTTTAGTGAAATTTACATTTTGTCTTTTATTTAATTCCAAATTTTGGAGATCTCCGATTTGTTTTAGAACCAAACAGCAATATATAAAAGACTCGAAAACTGGTCAAAAACAGGTGAACATAAAATAAGCTTACTTCTTCTTCTACATAAATGTTAATGAAGCTTTATTTACCTGGAACAAGCTGTTTTCTGAGATTGCGGAGGAGCACGCACCAATCAAAAAACGGAGATATAAGGGACACCGCTGCCCTGGATGAACAATAAAATAAATGAGAAAATGCAAGAACGTGATCGTTTTCATCGTAAAGCCATGAAAACTAAATGCAAGAGATACTGGAATGTTTATAGAATGCTGAGAAACGAGGTAAATCGGCTAGTTAAATCTGCTAAGTCAAAGTACTACTATGACCTAATCGAGGAGTCTAAAGGAGACGCAAGACAAATTTGGAAAGCAGTAAATGAAGCATGCTCYCGGAAACCCAAATCACGAAGTATACAATGCATCATTTCTGATGGCATTCAGCATGTAACACCTAGAGCTATTGCTTCGGAAATGAACACATTTTTTGCATCTATTGGGAAGATTCTAGCGGACAGAATTACACCACAATGTGCTAATCAGGTTCTTGATTGCAATATGGAAGTTACACACCACAATGTGCTTATCAGGTTCTTGATTGCAATATGGAAGTTAAGTTTCATTTAAAAGAATTGGAGGAATCAACTGTTTTCAAATATCTTCTCTCTTTKAAGCCAAACAAAGCTATTGGTTTGGACAATATTAGTGCACGACTACTTAAATGCGCTGCTGGTACAATAGCTCCGTCAATCACCAGCCTCCTAAATGTTTCAATCCGTACTGGTARGTTTCCAGATCTATGGAAGTGTTCTAGACTAATGATCGGAGTAATGCTTCGAACTATCGACCTATTTCAATTTTACCAACTCTCACCAAATTACTTGAAAAAACCGTTTATTCACAGTTATATTATCAATTGGCTGAACATAAATTTCTTTCCAGTAAACAATTTGGTTTTAGACGACGATCATCTGTATTGTTTTAACCAACATGGAGCAAGGAAAATTATGTGGGACAGTTTTTTTAGGTTTAACAAAAGAATTCGACACAGTTGACCACGAGATATTATTGTCCAAATTATCCGCAACTGGGGTTTCTGATGACGCTCTTCAATGGTTCCATTCGTATCTCACCAAT